AATTAGTTCCGGTAAAAAGCGTTTAACGTAACCCAACTTAGCCATAATCCTTGATGGTTTTTTTTTTTTTTCCTTTGCAAAACGTATAATTACTTACATTGTACTGAAGCTACTTACAACAAAACGGCACAATACTTATTCTTCTTACAATACAACACAATACAATACAATATTTTAGTCGGCTATTTATTTAATTACACTATCCTTGACGGGGTTACTGACAGCCCAAAAGGACCAAAAGGCCATAAGTCTTAAGGCCAATTTACTATTTATACACCATTGCGAATACTTAACTGATAATACGCTGGGGTTTCTGGTTCTGTTTCGGTTATCGCTCTTTAAATAAGATTAACTTGCAGCTGTAAAGTCTTTGATCTGTGTGGACGCTTTAAATAAATTTTATTTCTCATATCAACAACTAGCTACAACTAGTTTCTCTGTCAGTGAAAAAGCGATTGTCAGTCTCCTCCTGGTCTTGTTCCACCGTGCAAATTAAAGATGGCCGTTACAACAACTTGAACAAGGTACTATCAAATTCTTTTCATAATAAAGTGTATGTACATTAAACTACCGCTATACATACCAGTCTATGCTTTCCGCGGCTTAAAAGAATCTCTCTAGCATATATATATCCATCCATCCATCCATCCATCCATCCATCCATCCATCCATCCATCCATCCATCCATCCATCCATNCACCAGCAAAATTAATTAAGGACGTGGTCATTTAGTGCTTTTACATGTATCTAATAATTCTATTGATAGCACTATAATAAAATGTTAATTTACTGATAATCACGTGACTTCGTGGAAGACTGAGAGTCCTCAAAAATAAGCAGATAGACTTTTTGCCACGTAGCAAAATAATCCTTTGTGGATAGCTTGACTCCAGCCCGGAACAGAAAGTATCTTTTTATGCCAGAATTTTGCTCTAGTTTGGTACACTTAAATCATGCACCCCTGTACAATTTAACAGCTGAAACGTGTTCTCTAGCTTTCATGTTTCAGCATATTAAACAAGCAGTTATAAAATTTTACTTGGTTTTGCCTGTATTAAATTCCTCTGCTCGCTTAATTTCTCAGCCATCCCTTGCATGCACCTTTAGAACAAATCAGTGCTAGATTTTGTAAGACCCGTGAACTTATTGCGGGGTATTAGAATATAACCGCGCTAAATAGAATTCGCAGGTCCAAAACTGAGGAAGGCACTTTGTAACGGAAACTTCAAGAGTAGTATAAACTTCAGTCGGCTACTTGCCAGCTATTAATCGTTGAAAGTAGGCAGTTCGGATACGTGTTTTATCAAGTTAAGCTCAACATCTCGGAAAAACAAAAGATCGACTAACTTGTTACTTGTCTTTCTTTTTTAGAGTTTTTGGACAGCTGACTTATGGAGCGTCATGTGTTTGTCATTAAATCAAAGCTCTCGATAGTAACCCATTATATCGTGATATTTTGAAGTGGGTGGCTATATATGTNAACTTGTTACTTGTTTTTCTTTTTTAGAGTTTTTGGACAGCTGACTTATGGAGCGTCATGTGTTTGTCATAAAATCAAAGCTCTCGATAGTAACCCATTATATCGTGATGTTTTGAAGTAGGTGGCTATATATGTAATGTATCTATTTTTGAATGAGGCTCAGTGACATACGCCTTACACGTACGTATATTGACATTTGATGTCCGGATGTCCGCCCTTGATTGACTACAAGGGAACAACGCAAGCATCAAGTGCAAATTTGCTACAATATAAGTAATGTAACTATCAATAGAATATCGAGGGTCTCCTAAGACTCCATTTCTTCCGTTATATTGTGATACGTGACATGCTCGGCTGGCGATCAATTTATTGACGTCAGACGAGAAAACTGAACAAGAGAAATCTTCAGTCACTCGTAAATTTACGTTATGTTTTATAACTTATCTTTGACGGGGAAAATAAGCTTTTTGAATGTAGTTCATTAAAATCAGTCAGTGCATGCAGCCCAAAATTATATCAAAACTTATCTTTTGATGCAAATATTACTCAACACAGAAGTTATTAAATGCTTCTAACCTGATGTCCACATTAAACTGATGAAATGAGGCATCCATTTTATACTATGATATTGCACGCACACGGATGCGCGCTGATTGGCTGAAAACTAATCTTAATTTACCACAGTATATATAAGTAAGAGTATAATTTACCGATTCAGTTTCGTGCAATAATGTTATATATCAATATATTAGGCATAATATTGCCGGAGCAATTTCGCTCCCACAAGTCCAGCTTACGCGTTCGAGAAAATGACAAAAACACGCACTCGCAGACTTAGTTTCTCCTCAATTTAATAATGTTCTGTAAAAAAACTGACAGCTTCAATTTTTCATTTCAAAACAAAAATGATATTTTTGAAACATATCAATCCCGGTTGAATGGGTCCAGTTCGAACTCGACAGTTATTAAAGAGAAACAGGTACCGTAAAAGCTAAAAGGAATTCAGAGGCTACCTTCTCTATCACGAGTCGGCAGTGCTAGTATCGCACATTTTGACGTAAGAGAGCTGTGGAAAATGTTTCATGTCGGAAACAGGAGGAAACCTGGAGTGAACTTTCAGTAATCTGTTGATTAATCGCGTATGCAATATTGATGTTGTTGACGTGATCGAAGTTAAGCTGTATCAGTCCTTCGTCATTACAATTATACGAAAATAGGGGGGTGTGACAAATTACTGGGACGTGCTGGCTGGAAGCGCACGTAAGAATCTTAAGCCCCGTTCACACTGCGCCGGAGAAATTTGAAAACAGTGTTTACACTCTGAAAATGTATCAAATGTTATCCGTCCACGCTACGCCGGAGGAATTTGAAAACGCAACAATCAGCGGTCATTTTGGATTTGTGTTTGAGGAAACCTCGGTCAGGTAAATCACATGATTATCGTGACGTCATCGTTTTCGTAAAGCTCCGTCTACAAAATGTTTTCCGTCCACACGAAAACGAAGAGCCAGCGTTTTCAAATTCCTCTGGTTTGAAGAGTGTCTTCGAAAAGTTCTGTTTTCGTGACGGATTATTGTGAAGGGTAGGTCTAGTGGTAGAAATAAAGCTGCGTTTGCAAATTTTTCTGGCGCAGTGTGGACGCTCATCAATCTATATCTGAAACAAAAAGAAGGTAAATCTGAATGTTTTGGGAGAAATGTCTGACAAATAAACAGGCAAAGTTTACCTTTTTTTTCTTTACTCCATCCGTACTATGGCACATGTAGGAGGTCCACAGACGTAAACGCGCTTTAATATTCAAACTAACGACGTTTCCTTGCGAAATTTTGAAAGTTCTTGTACCTTTGTACATATATGCGGGGACAAATTGGGTATAATATTTGATGATAAGCTGTTTTGACCTTCTGAAAAAGGTACGAATACTCAAAGAACGCTCATTAAATTCTTCGACGTTTCGATGCGGCACTTAAGTACTCGAGG